GAGGTGCCGGGGAGGGGGACGCGGGGCTGGGTGTCCCTGGGGAGTGACGCTGCTTCCCACGTCGGTCCCTCACTCCGGCGTCACCAGCTCCAGCGCTGGGCGGTGGTGGTGGGGGTGTCCCAGCTGGGCGCCGGTGTCCTGGGGAGCCCGGGGTCCCCTCCTGCGAGGACAGACAGACAGAAAATATGAGGGGGTCATCCCTTCCAGAGCCAGAAATCGGGGGGGGGATGGGGGCTGCCCACTCCTGCCTTGCCTTGATCTCAGCCCTGGCATGAGGACAAGCCCTGGGGTACCCCCACAGCAGCCCCCCCCAACTGGGGGAGGGGATGGGGGACAGGATGGAGCCTGGCACTGCCCTGGCACCCTCGCTTTTACCTCCCTCCCCCCCCTTCCCAGTTTGAGACCCGGAGACCGGGCACAGCAGGGTCTCCCTGAGCCAGACGGACAGACAGACAGACAGACAGCCGTGCGGCTCAGGAACTTACCGTAGTGATCCAGACCCCCCTTGGCTCCAGTCCAAACTCTTCCTTGTCCTTTGATTTGTTTTTTTTTTCTTCCTCCGCTCCCCCCCCCCGTCTCTTTTTCTTCCTTCCTCCCCCTCTTCCTCCTCCTCTTCCTCCTCCCTCAGGGCTTTTGCGTGACACAAGAGGAGTCCGGGGGCCACTTTCCTTCGGTCGCTGTTGGAAGGGGTGAGACGATATCAGAGGTGACAGCGCGCCGTGAGGGGTGTGTGTGTGTGTGTGTGTGTGGGGGGGGGCGGAGCTAGTGCAGAACGGGCTTCTGTCTGTCTGCTTGCCAGCACGTTGTCATGGAGGTGTCCTCCGGCGTTCAGAGCCCAGTCCCACACAGCATGCCTGCTTGCACAGTTGGCAGTGACTGGCAAGATGATTAAAGACAGTGCTGCTGTCTAGTTTTGTGGGATTTTTGTGTTGTTTTTTTTCCTTCTGAAGTGAAATAGTCAAAAGATGCAGCTCTGCATCTGTATTTATGGTCCTAGACAGATCTGTATTCACGTGGTCCTCTGTGCGTATGATTTCTCTGGGCATCTTTCTGTTTCTTCATCTTTTCAGCAGTGATGGCAAAATAAGTGTTAAGATGCTCACCTGTGGCATGCTACTAGGCCAGCGCTTCCCAGCTAAAAAACTGCAGCGGGGTGTTTGGGACTTGTGAGCATTACATACCTTTCAGTGTTTTCCCTCAGTTTGGAATGTCAGCATGCTGGTTCACAGCCCAGCATGAGAAAATAAATAATCTCCCAGGGGTGAAACTATGATGTTTTTGTTACATTTAAGTTTTCTGTTCTCGATGTACCTTTCCTGAATCTAGGAAAGGTTTTCCTCCGAGAGCAGCAGGCATCCTTTGTTTGTATGTGTTTGTATCTCTGCAGTTTCACTATGATAAATATGCACCATGAATAATGTGTTGTTCTGCTCATCGTATGCAGATACTACTGCAGCAGAGCCTTCCAAGTCTAAGAGTAAGAAGTATTTTAATGAGAGATCAGATTTTATTTTCAATGAAATCCGACATTTTCTCAGACCTTTCTTCCTGACCAGCATAAAATTATCCATGAATATCCCGCGGCTCCCGGTTCGGCTCGCCCCGGCGGCTGCTGTGTCAGAGAAAGGGGCTGAGCCTCCGCCGGGCGGGGGGGGCTTAAAGGGACCGGGAACCCCTTTGCACACTGCGGAGCGGGGAGGAAGAGGGGGGCAGCGCCCAGGGAAACTGAGGCAGAGCCGTGAGGAGGGTCCCTTGCTTGGTGGGGGGGGTCGTTGCCTCAGTTTCCCCACTCCGTTCCCCCTTTCTAAATAATAACCTTGTTCAGGCTTGTCCCTGCTGAATGCAGAATGCCTCCCCCCACCCAACCCCAGCCCTATGGGTCATATTTGGGGCCATTTTCTGCAGGATGTGTGAAAAAATCCACCAGCACACCGGGGATGCAGGAGCATCATCCCAGCACCACGGGACTTGCCTGGGCAGAAGAAAAATAGTGTGCGTGTGTGTTGGCGGTCTGGTTTGGGGGTAGCCCAAGGAGGGAAAGTAATTGGAACAAAGGAAGGATCCGGCCTGGGAAAATCCATCCAGTTTAACAGCAATGGGAAGGAGGAGAGATTCCTGTCCTCGAGCCGAACGGCGACGATAGGTGGCAATCCCAGGTCTGCGAGAGGCGAGGCGAGGCGGCGTGTGCACGCATACGTGTTAGTTATTGCCTCCTACTGGGTATATTCAAAAGTGCCGAACACACTTTTTGGCGTGGACCCGAACTGACTCATCCTTCAGCGAGCAGTTTGTCACAAGGTGATGTTTTGGGGGCTCCTCCGATTCCCAGGTCAGGTCCGGGAGCGGGTCCCCGGGATGACAGGAGTGCCGGGGTGCGTTGGCGGATGCCGGCGAGCGATCCCTCAGTGCACAGCTTTATTGTAATGATATTTTTCAGGGTAACCATGTGGTTGGGAGGAAGTTTTCAGCAGAATCCTCCTCCGTTCAATCATTTGCACCTGAAGCTCAGCCGGGGGACAACGCGGCCACCCGGGTCTCCAACAACCATGACACTCTCTCCGGCTCTCCCGGGCTTTGATTTCCTCTAATAGCAGGTTAATGCCAGCTCATGCTCTGTCTCTGCCGTTAACCAGGCAGAGCTGAAAATCAGCGGGGATATTAGGACAGTAAATTGGGGAAATAGTGGAGGTGGTGAAGAGGAGATGGAGGTGCTGCTCCTGGGAAATCCACCCATGTGGGACCCGGTAAGGTCTCACCTCCAAAAGCTCACAGCAGATGTGGTGAAGGCGATAAAAGATATAGAATGATTTTGGCCAGAGGAGGACCTGAATAAACTACAGTGGGGAATAAAATGAGAGGATGAGCCCTGGACTGGGAAGAAAGCACTGCTCCATCCATGACTTGCTCTTCCCCTCTCCTGTAGGCATCTGTTCGTCACCTCCATGATGGGTACTGGTGGCCCAGGGAGGTTCGGTCCGAGCCAGGTTGATAAAAGATGCTTGAAAACAGCCAGCACTGGAGAGCAGGACCCTGAGTGTTGGAGCTGCCCAAAACCCCACCTCGGAAAGTCCTGGCCATGCTGGCGAAGCTATGGCAGCAGAACTGGCCCTGCGGGGATGTCCAAAGCCTCCACCGTGAGGTCAGAGGCCCAAGCTGTGTTTCCTATGATCTTCTGAAACCCTCTGGATGGTGTCTCGAGGGTGTGAAATGAAGAGGTGCCGGCAAACTCTATCCCTGAAAAGGGGGGAGGACAGAAAGGCTCAGCCTTTACTAGACACCCGAGAAGCCAAGCCCCACGCTTCGCTCCTGCTTTCCTTTGCTCCAAAGCCCAGGAGGGACACCCTCAGCTGGTCCCATGCTGAGGGACAGCCCTGGCCTTGAGCACCCCCAGGACCGAGGAGGGGCAAAGCGGCGGCTGTGGGGAGCAGTGTCTGTCCGTCCTGCTGTGAAA